GTAACATTGATTTGATAGTGTAGTAACATACCTGAGAGCACAGGTGAGGTAAGTAACCAGACAGAAGAGTGAGAGTAGAGTCTTCATGATTCCTTTCCTTGATAGAGAGTATTCCTTCTTGTTGTGAGATGATTTCTTGTTTTAGTGAGAAGTGATTGACTGCTGCTGGTCACCTCCTTATATACTATTAGGTACCTCATCAATATTCATTAGCAATTAAGCAAAAACTGACCAATCAGAGACTAGCTGCATGACATCAATCATTTTGAGCAGAAGGTCTTTGTATAGACCTATGAATGTATACTTAGAATTTCATCAGTGGAAGTGTCTTCCAAGTTACTATGCTGTCTAACTTTCCAGTGAAATGAGTATAACTCAGTATGGAGTATTTCACTTCCTTTAATGATGAGTGATGACATACTGGTGTATTCAATTACCTGGACCATGTACATGTACATGTATACTACATGTACAAATAAACAGGATAAAGCAGATGAAAATCTGAATGCTTTTTCTTTTTGACTATTAACTAATATTTAAAACCAACTTCCCCACCTCATTCACATGTATAGGCAAGACACAATGGAAAGGAATACTCTATTTTGTTTTGAAAGTTAATTATATTTTATTATCAAAGCCAAGAATAATATTAATTAATCAAAAATGTAATATTACATGTAAGCAAAAAGAGGCCTAAAGCAGCAAAAATAAACTGTGCATGTCCTATAGTGTTGCATGAGTCCTAAAGTTCTTGGCTTTTAGCTGATGAGCTCCTTACTGCAGATCACAATAGTGATACAGGAAACTATCAGCATTCCTGATAGCACCAGAAGGATTATTCCTGGCCAAATTCTTGCAATTAGAACGGCCATAAGCAACATCATCAATGTAGCCATAAGCGTGGGCCCATTCGTGGAGCAGTGTACCTTCCTTGCTCTCACCAGACTTACTGCAATATGTTTGATCTCCATAATAAATATTACAGAGGTACACGGTCTGAATTCCCTTTCTCGTGTAGGCATACCAGTTAGACTGACATGATGGACCATTGTTGTGGTATGTGCAGACTTTGTTTGTTATGCCATCTCTCATTTTCTGGTACACATTCTTAACTGTGGCAGCCCTTCCACCATCATATGTACCAAACCATGTAACATATATATTATTGTTACCAGTTCCAGCTTTAGCTTTATCAATACCACCACAGAGCCTCTTATGAGCATCCAGTGTTTGACTGTTGTTCCTATCACCAACGAAGCTAGCACTGCCACAGGCTTCGAGGTGGACAGTGTAATCAACTTTTACTTCTTCTTTTTTTGGTTTTGAGAGAAGAGAAGTGTCTTCCAAGTAAAGTTGAATGGATTCACGTACAAACGATTCCCTGAGCTGATCGATAGACATTGAACTCATCTCATTCACTGACAGATACTGTAAAGGCCTACTGTATTGTACAGTGTAGAGACCATCAGTATCAATTCTAAATATGTCAGTGATTTGGACTGAGGCAGAAATACTCTCACCTGCCTTCAAGAGAACAAACTCATCCTTTGTAGGAGGGAGACGAAGCACATGAATTCCTTCATATTCCAGTGGACGACCGTCAAAAGAGACAGAGACAAATTGAGAGTAGAGTCCTTCAAGAGGAGTGTTACGTTTGAGTAGATAAAGATCCTCATTTGCATTGTTGGTAAACTCAAAAGAGCAAGCAACTGCAGAAAGAGCTTTATCACAAGCCATGTCAAGAGAGACTGGCCAGCCATTAGCACTGCATGTACAAGAGAAAAGTAACATTGATTTGATAGTGTAGTAACATACCTGAGAGCACAGGTCAGGTAAGTAACCAGACAGAAGAGTGAGAGTAGAGTCTTCATGATTCCTTTCCTTGATAGAGAGTATTCCTTCTTGTTGTGAGATGATTTCTTGTTTTAGTGAGAAGTGATTGACTGCTGCTGGTCACCTCCTTATATACTATTAGGTACCTCATCAATATTCATTAGCAATTAAGCAAAAACTGACCAATCAGAGACTAGCTGCATGACATCAATCATTTTGAGCAGAAGGTCTTTGTATAGACCTATGAATGTATACTTAGAATTTCATCAGTGGAAGTGTCTTCCAAGTTACTATGCTGTCTAACTTTCCAGTGAAATGAGTATAACTCAGTATGGAGTATTTCACTTCCTTTAATGATGAGTGATGACATACTGGTGTATTCAATTACCTGGACCATGTACATGTACATGTATACTACATGTACAAATAAACAGGATAAAGCAGAGGAAAATCTGAATGCTTTTTCTTTTTGACTATTAACTAATATTTTAAACCAACTTCCCCACCTCATTCACATGTATAGGCAAGACACAATGGAAAGGAATACTCTATTTTGTTTTGAAAGTTAATTATATTTTATTATCAAAGCCAAGAATAATATTAATTAATCAAAAATGTAATATTACATGTAAGCAAAAAGAGGCCTAAAGCAGCAAAAATAAACTGTGCATGTCCTATAGTGTTGCATGAGTCCTAAAGTTCTTGGCTTTTAGCTGATGAGCTCCTTACTGCAGATCACAATAGTGATACAGGTAAGTATCAGCATTCCTGATGGCACCAGAAGGGTCTCTCCTTGCTAAACTCTTGCAATTAGAACGACCGTAAGCAACATCGTCAATGTAGCCATAAGCGTGGGACCATTCGTGGAGCAGTGTACCTTCCTTGCTCTCACCAGACTTACTGCAATATGTTTGATCTCCATAATAAACATTACAGAGGTACACAGTCTGAATTCCCTTTCTCGTGTAGGCATACCAGTTAGACTGACATGATGGACCATTGTTGTGGTATGTGCAGACTTTGTTTGTTATGCCATCTCTCATTTTCTGGTACACATTCTTAACTGTGGCAGCCCTTCCACCATCATATGTACCAAACCATGTAACATATATATTATTGTTACCAGTTCCAGCTTTAGCTTTATCAATACCACCACAGAGCCTCTTATGAGCATCCAGTGTTTGACTGTTGTTCCTATCACCAACGAAGCTAGCACTGCCACAGGCTTCGAGGTGGACAGTGTAATCAACTTTTACTTCTTCTTTTTTTGGTTTTGAGAGAAGAGAAGTGTCTTCCAAGTAAAGTTGAATGGATTCACGTACAAACGATTCCCTGAGCTGATCGATAGACATTGAACTCATCTCATTCACTGACAGATACTGTAAAGGCCTACTGTATTGTACAGTGTAGAGACCATCAGTATCAATTCTAAATATGTCAGTGATTGGACTGAGGCAGAAAT